CCAGTGTTATTAAAAATACTTTCAAATACTTAATTTCTATTTCAACTCTACATGAACGAAGCCATCAGTGAATATATATATATATATAGTATAGGATTAAATTCATTGTATGTTTAAGTAACCCTTATTGATTGCCACTTATTTCTTGTTAATTTGCCGTGATTTTAGCAGTTTTTTGCATCTCCATTTTGCAAAAAATAGCCAAATTTATTCAATTTTTAATTCAACGAAAATAAATCATTGTGTAAATTGATACAAATAGAAATTAATACACATATTAACTAAAATGTTAAGCGATTGATTGTTCAAGGTCGGTATAAACTCAAAGAAAAAAATCTTCATCACTCGAACATCAAACTAACCATACGACAACTAAACAAACGCCACAAACAAAAACAAAGACAAAAAAGTTTATTTTAGTTTATTTCTATGGGCTATTGAGGGGAAAAAACTAAAACTTGAATAGGCCAGAATAGCACAGATGCCAAAAACAACAACAGCAACACTTGAAAAATCACAAAACACCAAATCAAGAAATGATGAGGATGATGATGAAGTATACAAATCGTCTGATGGCCTGACAGACAGACACACCGACTAACTGCCTGGCTATTGATTGACAATAATGATGACTGTCTGTCGGAGGTTAAGTTGCAAACAAAGTAAACAAAACACAAAAAAAAAAACTACCAACTCGCCAAATATAATCGACACAGAGAGGAGGTGTAATAAAAATCGCCTTCAGCTAAATATCTCGGCATCGAACACTTTGAATTGAGTGGGCATTACATTTGTGGTTATGTTAGAGAGGTTGGCCATTGTTTAGTGGCATGCATGTGGCGAGATAGGTTACAGGTGTACCACCAACAATAAAGCCACATTCAATTGTGCCATGACAGGTTGTTACAAGTCATCCTAATTATGAAAAATATATATAAATGCTAGCTAGCTTGTGGTCATTTTTTTTCATATTCCAAGATGGTATCAATTAAAATCTATAAATAATGAACTTTTTCTTATTTAACGACTAGTCAGTGTATAATGATATATTAGAATTGCGAGTTTATTTGATTGTTTTGTATTAAAGAGTTATCTGTAAATGTTATTTTAAAAGTTAAATGTTAAATTTTATAAAATGGAACTAGGTACAATGTGCTGTAGATGTTAAAAAATATATATATTGAAGTAGGACTAATTAAAGATATCTAAAAAAGGAATATAATATTTTAGTAAAAATTTGGAAATAAAAAACATTACTAAGCTTGCGAAAATGCCATAAAATATTTCATTTATCGTATATGACAACTCTAACCCTTTTGCCTCTAAAAAACTATCAAGGAAATTTCATACTATCTCAGAAAAATCCACGATAGTACTCGTAGGTCAGTGGAAAAAAACTTGTCCAAAAACTCCACGCGTATAGTTAAAAATTCCAAGTCTATTGTAGTACAGTGGAAAAAATATTTTAAAAAATCCATACCTATAGTAGATCAGTAGAAAAATATTTAAAAATCCAAAAATCCACGATTATAGTAGGCCATATAGACGGTCTGTGGAAACACATTAAAAAATCCATGGATATAGTAGGTCATGGAAAAAATATTTTTTTTACAAATCTACGCCTATAGTTTGTCAGTGGAATTTTTTTTAATCCGGAAAAAAGTTTTAAGAATCCACGCTTATAGTAGATTAGTGGGGAAATATTTTTAAGAAAACTAAGCGTAATAAAATAACAGTCTGACTAGTGTATGATAAATTGTTGTGCGGTGGTCTACGCAACAACTGTAAGTGTCAGGTTGGATTTTTATTTTGACGGTTTGTGTGAGAGGTTCCAGTGATGATGATGGACCTATATAGAAGATAACTGAACTAAATCTACTTAACATATTGAGCCCTACTCAGTTTAGATCCACAAGATTCATGCTTCGATGGGCCCCATCTTCGGGCTTGATCTAGGTTTGGTACAAATATTGCGATGTGAAAGTTTGGATTAAATAGGTTATTCCTTTGACTTTATATTATTTTTAAAATTTTTCAAAAATGTCAATTTTTTTTAAAATGGATTTGATCTATAATCTTGGTGTTTAAAACCAATATTTTGATGAGACACAACCAAAGTGTGTTCCACAGCAACTAAATTTCGCATAAGGAACAGAATTAAGTCTAATAATTACGTTTGTTCTATTGACTTCGAAATTAAGTCTAACATTGCGATTTTAAAGTTTACATTAAATGTCTGGAATGATCAAAGCTTAGGTTGTGCAACGTTTTATTAAAATCGGACATTCCATTCGACTGATATTGGATTTATAAATATTGAAAATTTTGGTAATTTGTGGGGAGATACCAGAAGGAGCGGACCAATGGGACCCATCTTCGGACTTGATATATACATATATATTATAAATTAAATTTTTGTAAAATCTTAATCATTTTGTGGGCAAGCTACTAGAAAGAGTGGACCGATATGTCCAAACAAACATGGGGTCTATAATAAATATTTCGATGAGACACATTTTTAACGTATCAAAATCATTAGCCATGATGCTGAGGGTATAAAAATATTCTACTTTTCTTTTTTATTTGAAACAGTATCCTTATATGATACTATTTAATACGGGATTAATATCACAGACGAATATCGCCACGTCAAACACCCTACAATTCAAGAAAAACGAATTTTGTTAAAAAGACCGGCTAAGGTTTCATATAAAATATATTTTCTTCTGCTGCGAATAACAACATGAATATACCCTCCATCTTATGATGAATGTTACGGGTATAACAAAACATAGATATCACACCCTAGCTCTAGGGTGTATAAATCACAAATGAATATGAAAAAATATTATTCGACTATTAAATACATATTAAAAACAAATTTTGCTAGGTGTTGGCGATGTTGGTGAAGAAACTCCAATCTGAATGATGAGTTTTTTTCTCTTTCGTTTAAAAAAAGTGTCAAAAATTGTGGCACACTTTTATAGCTAAGACAAACAAAAAAATCGAATCAAACAAATCTATAAAAGAAGCAAAAAACGACTACAACAACAGCAGCAGTGTCCAAACGACAACGTTTCAGAAAAAACACACATAAATTGTTGAGGATTTATTTAAAATCAAGGTCGTCTTATAAAACCAACTAGTTTTTGACGTTTTTTTCGTATTTTTTTATTATTATTTGATGATGACAAACATGTTGGCAGTTGATTGTTGTTGTTGCGGTTATTGGTTGATTGTGATGTGGTTGATTGGTTGGTAGTGGTGGTGGTGATGGTGGTATTACTTGATGCTGTCTGCTACCATTACTAGCGATGATAACAATGGTGATGCCAATGATGATCTCCATATTAATGCTATTAAATTGATTTACATATTTATGGCAAATTTATTGTATTCTTCTTCATCTTCTAATTAGCATTTTAATATTTATGTAGAGCAATTAGAAGGCCTAGACGACATTTATATGTCTTTGTTATTATTATGTATTTCTTTAGGCGATAATGTCATTATACATATTACATATTTTCCTTATTATGTATTTCATTGCCTATTTTATGATTGGGTATTACAAATTTACGTGGCGAGTGACGTTGTTGTTAACAAGCGTAACCAACAATACACCAGCAACAGCGACATTAATAGCGGCAGCAACAACCCACAACAACACAATACGCTGACGATGAAGAAGAAGCAGCAGCAGCAGACAAAAATGCCACCTCATTTAATTGCTTTGCTTACTTCTCATTACAAGTGATCAATGTGTTTTTTGTTGTTTTGATACAAAACCACAAAGCTTTGGCTTGGCTTGAATTGATATGGATTGCACAAAGAAGAAATGAAAAACAGAAAAAAACAAAAGACTTAAGAGACAAACTTTGTGTGAATTACTTAATCGCCGTTGTTGCCGTCGACACCAACACTACCAACAAAACTCACCACTAAAGTGGTTTTGTGGTTGTTTGGCAGTATTGATGTATGTGTGTGTGTGTGTGAGCAGATCTCCAAATTGAGCACAATGCACCTTTAGAATTGCCATTACCCCTACTTTTGAGCCCCAACTCACCTCCATTCATGGCTGAGAGCATGCCAACTAGACCACCACCTTTTTACCCCTCACCCGCAAGGCTTGCATTTGATTATAAAAACCCTGCTGACGTGCGCAATGCGCTCTCTCGTGTTCTGAGGCACGTCGCGTTATGTAGTTTTTTGTGAAACCGAACCAACAAGTGTCTTCTGAAAAGCGAAAAACCCATTAAAGCGATTTTTATAACCTTTTCAATTCATCGAATTTGAATAAAGCCATAAAATAAGACGCCGAACAACAAAAACAACCTACCCATGTCATTTTCGGTTAAATTTGCATTTTTCTAACGCAACATAACAACGAACAACAAAAACAGGCTGCAGCCAATCCGCCCCGCCCCACACCTCAACGCAAACCCATAGACAACAAGACCAGATTGGCAGCAAACAACTTCAATTGTCACTACCACTATTTTTCGTTGTGTGATTCGTGTGCTCTTGTGTGTTTCTGTTTCTCACTCTCTCGCTTACTCTTTCGTTGAGCTAGGCAAAAAAGCTTTGCGCGAACGACAATATTCCACCACTGCCATAAGTGCGCGTGCGCGACTGTGTGTGTGCGCTGCCGCTGAGTATTTCACCTCACCACCACTATTGGTGTATTGTGCTTTAGTTGGTGTTTTTGCATACGACTCCGACTTTTTGTAATAAAAGAAGAAGAAAATCGGTTTTGACTCTTTAACTTTTAAAAGAAGTTCGAGAAATTTTACTGTGCTGCGTTTGAAAGTGTCAGTGTAAATGAAACATTGATACCGATCGGAAGGACAAATTGCAGCTGGTGCGCTTGTGCTGAAGATCATTGTTTCTTTATAAGAAATATTGAAAAAACAAAATAAAACAGAAAATATTAAACAAAAATCTCTATATATAAGTTATAGTGCAAATATTAAAATATTAGTTCAAGTGTAAACTTAAACCAAATAACAGACACAAACATGGCAAAACTTTTTGTAGTTTTTGCCGTTTTAGCCGTTGCAGTTACAGCTGGTAAGTAAAGTGTATTATTTTATTTTTTTTAATAAAAACAATTTTAAAAAATATTTTATTAAAAAAATATTTAGATATTTTTTGGATATGCCTAATAATTATATAATTTTTAAATTCCCAAAATGTGTAAGCAATATGCAAACCTGTTTGCTAGTTATTTTTCGGCTCCAACTTGCCTCTATAAATATTTCGTAAGAAATTACAAACTTGTAATTGCAAATAAAATGCAAGTTGGAAGTTTCAATTTTTTTCGCCTCTGTGGGGTACACAAATTTTCCGCTAAATATAATTGTAATAGCATTGTTTTTTTGTATTTTTTGGTAGAAAAATATAAAAAATGTTGGAAAATATAAATGTTTAAAAATATTTATTTAAAAGATTTAAAATAAATTAAAAAAATCAATTAAATCGGTAACGACTAATAAAAAAAATCAGGAAATAACTTTAAATAAATCTAAGACGTTAAATTGAAAAAATCTTGCAAATGTGAAAATTAAAAAAATGGGATTTAAAAAAATTATAAAAAAAATTAATATTTAAAAAATACGGCAAACATTAAATAAAATCAAAAGAATATTTACTTATGTTTAGATTCTTTACATTCAGGAATATACCCAATCAAATCGCTTGCTTTTAAAAGAAGTGTTAAAATATTAAAAATTAATATACAATATTTTTTTTCAAAAATAAAATTCTTTTCCAATCCTTATGAAATTCTAACAAAAATAAAAATGTTTTCCCCGCCCTTATGAAATTCTAACAACTTCCTTTGACGAAAAACTGCTAAATGGAGCAATTTGTAATGCCTAAATTCTGTTGTTTGTAATTGAGGAGTAAACCTCTACCATTTCCCTCAAAAAAAAAAAAAACTGAAAATTGCCTAAGGCTAATCAGGATAATAAAATAGTATTCATACATTTTAAATAAGCTGTCAGAATTTTTTCCAAACCAGGTGAACTTCTTGATCTTCCATTTCAAAGGGTTTATTTGTACAGAGAACTATTTGTTATAGAGAAATTTAAATAAATTAAACTTCAAAATAAAACGTAAATATTTCACGTGGACATTTCTTAGAGAATTTCCCTCTAATATAAAAATAAAAAAATTAGAAAAAAATTCGGCTTCTTCTTTTTATTTTATATTCAAAATTTAAAAATAAAAATGTTATGATTTTTATTCACACGATCGTGTATGAAATTATCATATTTCGAAATTATTATTTATTGAGCTCATAAAAATATTCCATCCCATATATCCCAATATATGATGAAGATGAATGTGAAAGGATGGACATATCATGGCCCAATATTATTTTTTTTTTTTTTCAAAAATAAAAATAAACCATTCAATGTCTTAGCAAAAAACCGAACAAATTGCAGTGGTAGTCAACTGTAGTCAACCTTGGTGACATACCAAAAAAGGATACACAACATCAGTACCAACGCTCTGCCAGCTGGGAAGATTTTGGCCTTACACTACAGGGAGACAGGCAAACTAAATGACACAACCTAAAAATGTGGTTTGAAAACAACTTTCATTTTTTTCGCCAACGCCATGAAGTAAACACACACGAATTACAAAAAAGCCTAAACAGCATGCAAGAGATAAAATAAAAATAAATATTTCCCCCCTTCTATGTCATGTAAAGTACTTCATATAAATAAATAAATAGATTTTTACATACATAATCTCCCAAACAGCTTAAAAGTAATTTCATTTGAATTAAATCTACAATAGCAACAACGACAGCACAAAGAAACCACCTAAGAAAGAAACTGAACAAAAAACAAATCAAATCAAACACCTTTGACATTTGAATCGCTAGCAACTTTGCCAGCCAAACGAACCCAACCACCATAGCTAGCCATTACAGGCTAACCATCAATCTTAACACTAGTTGCTGGACGGAAAAAAAATTACATACATCAGCTCTAAAGTCATGCATCATTGAGATACGTTTTTCTGTTGTTGCTACTTCGATGGAAATAAATCTTACTTTGTTTTCATAACATTTATACGTGAATGGTGGTAGTGGTGGTCAAGTATGGCTATTCAATAATGTCAAATGATTTTCAAATGCACTATGAAGAGGAAAAAACAATTCCCTTGGAATTCTTGAAATAGTTGAAGGCAATTAATGTGCTAAGAGTCGTGCTAAAGACCTACAAAGAAAAAATACTTCGGTTTGTTGTAATATTTTACATGGTCAATAGCAATTTTGGAACATATGCAGTTGGTCAATTCCGAATAATAATAATAAAAGAAACAACATGCAGTAATAATATGCATACATGGCAGGGATGGGAATTACATATTTCTCAAAAACAAAAACTATTTTGAAAAATCCATTATGGATCATATCCAAGCAGACATTTATTATCAATCCAATTGACATAAAATAGGTTACACATTTAGCAAATTACTCTCATCTTAACGGACATTAGTTGTAAACAATTATTTTTTTTTTTAAATAATCAAATATATATTTTCCAAAACATGCAATAATATAAACAAATTTGCAATTTTCAAATTATTTTCTATCAAAAATATTTACATATATTTTAAAAATATTATAAACGAGCAAATTTGGAAATAGAAAAAAAGGTAACTTTTAATGCAATTGTATTATTTGTGCCCTCTGTATTGGATTGCATCTCCCAACCCTGTTAGCAAACCACATGGCAGCCAGCCAAACAGCTGTCCGTCCCAATTTGTACTTTTTTTCTTCTGCTAATGGAGCCAGAATATAAAATAATTGTATTTATAGCCAGCCAACCAGCCACATGCATTTATTGTGAATAAGTTAACGTTTATGCAAATTGGTCGCAAATACCAATCGAACCAGAATCCACACCATTGAAAACCAGTGGAAAGTGTATACAATATGATTGTTGCCAAGCTAATGGCCTCATTCTATTACCTCAAAAGAATAAAAAAATAAACAAATAAAAACACAAATCAAACAGGCATTTAATTGTTTCTGGTATTTATAAATTTTTTCTTTCTTTCTCTATGTGAGAAATGTCAAAGTTTTATTTGTCTTCAATAAAAAAAAAATTTTCAATTTAGGTTGGGGCCATACCTACCACAAAAAAGAAAAAAAACCTAATTGTTTTCATTGTTTTGATTTTAATTATTATTATTTCTTAATTTGATAAATGGATTTTTAATTGAGTTGAACTGAAGTTGTTGACTGGCTGGATGACTGGCTTGGCTGACGTTAACACACATTTCTGGGCCGCACCACACTTTGTTACCATTTTTTTTGTTCGTGGCAAAATATGGTCAATTGCACTGAATGTCGTTTGAACAGGAAGTTAACGTAACTTTAGTACAGACCACGTTTTTCTTAGCTATGTTTCTATTTGTTTCGGTTTTTTCTTAGAGTCGCTTGTTTTGGCTTACATGGCAAGGTAAGGCGTCGGGACAAGGCATGGCCAAGTGACAGCTAATAGTTACATTTTTTGTTTTGTTTCTTTGTAATACTTTTAAATGGTGTTTGCCACTAGAAACCTAGTTTTCAATTAAAGACCTACAATTTTCAAAACAAACTTAAAGATAATTATTATGTTTTAGCCTACTTTGTTTTGCAGCACTCGAATGCAGACAGAAAAATAAAATGTTTTGAAATTTACAAAAAAAAATCCGCTAAAGGAAAAAAGTGTATGCAAAAAATATCTAAATTTTTCAATAAAAAACTAACAATTTTTTAATAAATATAAGTAAAATATTCTAATTGATTTTAATAATATTGTTATTCATTAAAATATTGCATAATATTAATTTTTATTTATTTATTTTTTACAGCCTCGGCCACAAGCTATGATCGTGTCAAACGTCAAGCTAGCACCGAAGAACCCAAGAAAGAGGAATCTTTCGAAAAGGAATTGTGTAAAGACAAGGATGCCGGTGAATGGTTCCGTTTGGTAGCTGGTGAAGGTGATAACTGTCGTGATGTCATCCAATGTACCTCATCGGTAAGTAAATAAAAATAATTGAAAAAAAAATATTTTATTGAGAAAAAAATTTTAAATTATAAAAAATCCTATTATACTTAATCAAAAGTATTCTGAAGCTAAGAACAAATTCGATGAAAATTGCAAAAATAATTTATTTTAATATTTTTTTAATTGAAAATATTATTTGAAGTAGTAGGGAAGAAATTACTCACTATTGACAATGTCCAAGCTCACTGAAATAATTTTCAATGGGGATACAACTAATACTTTTGAACAATTTCTCTTGGTCTCAAGCGGTCCTTATAATATTTTGAATATTTATTATTGTTTACAGAACAATAAAACTGTTTAAAAAAACAGCAGAAATCGAATTAAAATATTCAAAAGAAAATTTCTCTCCCATCAATGTGTAGTCTTATCTTTCTATTACTTGATAACAAAATGTTCTCTCTGACAAAGAGAGCAATAATAAAATAATTCCCATAAATCTTATTCGAAATTTTCGATTGAAATTTTTAATTTATATTCCTTTACACAAATTAATCTTTCTATGCAGTACTTCCAAGTGCATCATAAAAATGTAATATCCCAATAACAACATCCAACCTTTTAATTGGATTGGATTTACTCAGTTCTTAAATAAAGAGTAAACACTCAGAACTCTTCGATTTATTTTAAAACATTGGGAATCAGAGAATATTTAGTGAATCCTTCGCTGAGATACTTCAGTTAAATAAAAATTGATTTAGTGTATAGAAAATATTGAAAGCAGGCGATTTTTGAATTTTTATTTTTTATTCCTTTTTTCGATTTTCTATATTAACATTTTAATTTTTTTTGTTTCGTTTTAGGGTCTCCAAGCTATCCGTTGCCCAGCTGGTTTGTATTTCGATATTGAAAAACAAACTTGCGATTGGAAAGATTCCGTCAAGAATTGTAAATCCAAGAACAAGGAACGTCGTGCCAAACCAAATCTCCACACCGATGAACCTGTGTGTAACGATGGTTTCTTGGCTTGTGGTGATGGCGCCTGTATTGAACGTGGCTTGTTCTGTAACGGTGAAAGAGATTGTAACGATGGTTCTGATGAAAACACTTGTGGTAAGTAACAAATAAAGAGAAACAAAAACACCCACTCCACAAAAAATTAAGTTCAAAAGTCATTATAAATCAACACACGCAAAGCTTACTCCAATGGCTATAAAAAAAGACAACAACAACAACTTGATGTGTAATAATTCCAAGACTTTGTTGTTGTTGTTCTTATTTTGGTCTACATTTTCTTGATTTCAACCACAAAAAGTGCAATGCAATGTGATAAACCGGTATGGTGGCATGGCATGGTAAATGAATATGAGACCTAAATTTTCCACACAGACACAAAAACAATTTCATTTTTGAAAAACAAAAGTGAAGGAAAAGTTGTTTGCATATATGCAGGTTATAGTCATGATTCTATAATGTAGAGAAGAAGAAGAAGAAGAAAAAATGAAACAACTCAGCTAGACATTCACAAGTGGGTCTTGTCTTTTTATTTTTTTTCTTCTCTGCTTATGACTTAACTTCGATTACAAACCCCACCAAAAAAAAGACTTGAAGTAAGCCTACCTCAAACAAAAACTGGTAATACCACTACAGTATCGCACACAGCAGCAGCGGCATAACATCTTCACTTTTTCTTTTTTTGTTTGAGAAGACATAAAAACAAAAGTATAGCAACAGTGGCATGTCTTCGAGTTAATAAATTAACAATGGCTTGAGCATAAATATTCATTATGTTCGTTGTTGCTGTTGTTGTTGTTTGGTATCAGGCAAATACCCGGCACCAATCCCCAAGACAGCAACTTAACCTTGCTCCCAAAACCTTTAAAATATAAATTAGCACATTTTGTGCTATACACAAACAGACACACACACCTTAAAGATACATCATGAAAATGGATCGAACGACCAGTTAAAAAAATGTTACATAATAGTTAAAACAGCGAAGGGGGCACACGATAATCAATAAACAATGTGTGTGTATGTGTATGTATTTTAAAGTAATTATATTTGTTTTTCTTTTCTTGTTGAAAATCGTGGAATATTAGGAAGAGTAAATTGAAAGTGAAATATTTAAAATGACACAAAAAAGGAGATAATAATAAAACCGCAAAATAGTAACAGGCTGTTCAAATATAGAACAAAATCTTGAATAAAGAAGAAATACATCCAAAGCCGATATTTAAAACCCCCTACAGATCCTAAAATGTTCACGCTGTGACTTTCTCAAACAAGCCAGCTCCAATAGTGATGGGGTTCTGAAAGGCTTATTGGTATTTCTATCAACAGAGAACTGGAACCATTAGCTAAATTCAAATAGATATAGAATTTTCTAAATATGCGAAATTTCAGATATTTTTTATGAAAATGCGGTCAATAATGCTGATTTTTATATAGCTCTTCATATAGAAGATATATAACGAACAAATTTCACTCAACCATTCCGTTGGAAAATATTAACCCACACATTTTTTAAAAACAAATGAGAGATATCGGGATTATACTAAAGATGGATCTACATTCCCTCTTCAATATCAAACTTCCAAGTACTATGGGATAAATATTCAGGGAGTTCCCTTTTGGGATGCTTTGGATTCAATCCTACATTTTCAATAGTCTGCCCATAAACTGTAGCAGTAGAGACTCTTCGTTGTAATATCTTAAGGGTTTTAAGTTCTTCTTAATTCAGGCTTCCTATCTCTAATAAAATTATTTAAGTCCCTTTTCATTTCTACGCCCCTGCTAATATACTTTTGCTGGTGTTTTAAGTGAAGCGTACTAAATAAACAAACCAGACAAAGGAAGCGCTCTACCACAAACTTGGCAAATTATAAAAGCATTTACAAGCTGTTGCGCGTTTTGAAAAGAATTGGATTTTCACGCTTCAAATTGTGGCTGTTAAAAAAATTATAGGAATATTATTATTTTTTTTATTTTATAATACTTTGTTTTGAAGTTTTGTGGTAGCTCATAGTCCAATAATTGGCATTGCGAAAAAAATAATGACTGAACAACCAACATAAGGCACTTGGCGTAAAAAACCATAAATTATTAAACAATTGTTAAACATAAATGCTCAATTAGTTACCGAAAACAATAACAAAACAAATATTTATTTATAATGCAATAAAAAAAAAACAAAACAAATGACCTAAGTGCTTATTAAAAAATTAAATCTAAAACACAAAGACTACCAAATTCCGCAGTATTTGAAAAAAATAACAATAAATTTTTTTTGGCAAATAAAATTAAAAGCATAACTTTTTTAAAAATAGTAATTAAATTAAAGTGGCTATTTTTCAATACAAAAACTTCCTATTCCAAAACAGGTGTCTTGCTCATTTTATGATTAATAGTTATGAAAAAATATGTATAGCAAAACTATTTTAAAGATGATTTTTACAACAGTTTTTCCAAATCGCAATGGAAGCCATATAATTAACTCCAATTTGTGATTAATTCACAAGCAATAACTTCGAAATGATGTCATTTTTCAAAGATACAAAATTATTTCCTATGTGATGGCAAAAAATTCCATTGAAGTTTTGTTATGAAACATTTTGGTTTTTGACAAATTTATAATCCACCTGGTTGGTTGGTAATGTGTTTCAATTACCCCCAACTCCTACACCTTCATTTGCTGTGACATAATACAATTTTTGTTTTGTTTTGGCCAAAAACGTGCAATGAAATTTTAAATTTATTTAACTGTTTCAAGAAATAAAATTATCTTCATCAAAAAAAAACCCTGTATGGAATTGCAAAGTAACAACAATTTCGAGTTTCATGAAAAGTAAAATTCGCTCGTGTGTCATACTCCACAGCTCGTGTCGTTTTAATGGCGATTACTTTTTTATTGTTGCCATTGTTGTTGGTTATTTCAAAAGATCGGATTATGCTAAAGATAAGAGGAGCATGTGTAGCGAAATACTACCTGTATGGCATAATAAATTTAAGCCATTCAAGTCAACATTTTGAAATGATTTGCAAAATTTTTGATAAGAAATTCAAAATCATTTCTTGAAAATAAATAGAGTTTTTATAAAAGAAATTCAAATGATTCATTTAAAGCCATTAATTCCACAAATTATTCGTTTAGATTAAAAAAGAATTTTAATGATATTAAGAGCGATTAATATGCAAAAGAGAACACACCATAAGATATAATGATAATCTCTTAAGAATGGATTCAGGAAAGAGATGACGAATGGAAATTTCAATGGATTGGTGAATATTTTATTTTGTTGAAGAAAATAGCATAGCAATTTTTCATAAGGAAATAATGAAAATATTCCTTTAGTTATTATCCCTGCTTCAGATGGGAATGTGTGAATTCTTTAAGGTATATTCGTAACCTTTCCTTTCTTCCCCTATAAGAAAATATGCCACAGACCACACTTCAGAGGTGGTCGATTCACTTTTGTTGATACAGAAAGTAGACATTATCCTACCCCTAACTAACTTCAAAGTTGGCTGAGAATCTCTACCCTCCAAAAACATAATTTTAAATTAAAATTTCCTTTGTTACATTTTGAAATTTTAATAAATTAACTACATGACCATAACTCCAATGGGGCCCAAACACATGATTTTTTTCTTTACACATCAATGTTGCAAACGTGAATAATTTCTGGATTGTATGTTGCTACCCAAACTATACGATTCCATTTCAGAGAGTTCATTGGCGCCCAATCAATATGCTACAAGTTCAATATAATTGGGATTGTGAAAGCATTTAGCTGATATGATATCATTGAAATAAATTACATAAAAAAGAAAATAAAATTGTATCCCATACCATGATTGATTTTGCATTCCAAAAGCTTGTATGAGCTCTATCACCACCTATGCCGCTTTTTGAAAACCAAAACAATTGGTATTATATAATGTTTTTTATAGCCCAAAAATGGTAAAATCTACACCAAAAAATCTCCTCTTCGTGATTTAAATTACAAAAAAAAATCAAGATTTCAATAACAAAGAGAGCTCCCAAAAATAGCAATAATTACGTTTCAAATGATTCACAATTAAAATTTCAAAGCACGCAAATTTCAATACAAAACATTCAGCAACCGCATACCACACCATTCCGCCGTCAGCCATGCCGCCGAGGAAATTTTCAATTGATTGTAAATTGGCTTTTTTCGCGCAGACAAAACAAAAGAAACTTGAACTTTCGCAAAATAATAACAAAAACAACAATGAAACCTGTTGAACATAACAAATTAGAGTGATTGGCAAAATACACAAAACACGCACCCAAACAAAAATAACAACTCCCAAGTAAAAGTGCAATATTTGCCGCAATCTATTTACATTAGCTGGTTGGTTAGTTATAATGATGTTGTGATGGTATTGGTGATGATCCAACAAAAATATTTATCTTTAACCAACAAACGGCAAAGCAAATCCAAATGAAAGGAAAGGATTTCCACTTGACCTGAATGCCGCTCTAAAAATGACTAACACACTCGGCAAATTAATTAACTAACCGTTTATTTGACGACTAACGGCACTTGCATAGCAAAGGAAATAACAATTTATTGGTGTTGTCGTTGTTCGACGCACATGCCGCCTAACTGTCATTCGGCAACTTTAGCAGCCGAGGCGACATGTTAGGAATTTATAATTGATAGAAATCAAAATAAAACGCACCCATTATGTGTGAGTATTGATGTTAAGAGGAAAAGAGGGGGAGTGTAGCTTAATTTCGTGTTGAGGGGGAGTATTTTGACAATCTCTTGCCTAGTTTATTTGACGTCATTATTAATTGTTTGAAAAAAAGAATCTAATGTGGGCCACAGCAAATGCCTACACACACACTCGGAGAGTTTATTACTCATTCGCTCACGTACTCTCCTCACACATTCACTCACATAATGCAAATTGCATTGTAATTATTTTGGGTGTAACGAAACAACAATGCCTGCCTTCGTACTGTGTGTGTGTGCAACAACTGGTGGGTTGTCAATGCCCTCTGTTGTGAGGATGCACTTTTATGCCGATCTGTGTGTGTGTGTGCGTTCCACAATCACGAACATTGATGATGACACGAAAAAACAACAATTTAAAGAAAAATACAAGAGTTCATCGGCATTTAGCTGGAAAATGAGCTGTTATTTTTTAACACATTAACAACGCTTGGCGGCGACGGCGCAACGTTATAACGGTTCAAATTCCAAAAACAAATAAAAAAACCATCATCCGTTCGTATGTCCATTCACCAAAAAAATCACACACACATACCGACGGACAATGATGGTGGTCATTCACGGCATGGTTGTTTATTTACAACAAAAAATGCAAATAAACTTATTAACCAAAAGTTTATTGAACTTCTTTTACACCATCTTTGTCATTTGTTTTATTTATTTTTTTTATTGCATGCGCATCTTCCTTTCAAAACTAATAAAAACTCAATTGTATTTTTACAGACATTGAAAACGATCCCAATCGTGCTCCTCCCTGTGACCCCACTGTCTGTGTCTTGCCCGATTGTTTCTGCTCTGAAGATGGTACCGCCATTCCCGGTGATTTGCCCGCCAAGAATGTTCCCATGATGATCACCATTACCTTCGATGATGCCATCAACAACAACAACATTGAATTGTACAAGGAAATCTTCAAGGGCCGCAAGAATCCCAACGGTTGTGACATCAAGGCTACCTTCTTCGTTTCGCACAAATACACCAACTACTCGGCTGTTCAAGAAACCGCCCGCAAGGGTCATGAAATCGCTGTCCACTCCATTACGTAAGTAGTTTTTTAAGATTAAAAACAAAATATTTAGACCTTCGAAATGTAGATACAATTTTTATATCACTTTTCATTTGTGTTAATTAAATTTACTAATTCCCCATTTTGTTATTTTTCCCCTCTCTCCCTCCCTTTAGCCACAATGACGAAGAACGTTTCTGGTCTAACGCCACCGTCGATGACTGGGCCAAGGAAATGGCTGGTATGCGTATCATTGTCGAGAAATTCTCCAACATTACCGATAACTCCGTCGTCGGTGTCCGTGCTCCCTACTTGCGTGTCGGTGGCAACAACCAATTCACCATGATGGAAGAACAAGCCTTCTTGTACGATTCCACAATCACCGCTCCCTTGTCCAACCCTCCACTATGGCCATACACCATGTACTTCCGTATGCCTCATCGCTGCCACGGTAACTTGCAAAACTGCCCCACCCGTTCTCACGCTGTCTGGGAAATGGTCATGAACGAATTGGATCGTCGTGAAGACCCCGCCAATGACGAATACTTGCCCGGTTGCGCTATGGTTGATTCCTGCTCCAACATCTTGACTGGTGATCAGTTCTACAACTTCTTGAACCACAACTTCGATCGCCATTACGATCAGAATCGTGCTCCTCTCGGTTTGTACTTCCACGCTGCCTGGTTAAAGAACAACCCCGAATTCTTGGATGCCTTCTTGTACTGGATCGATGAAATCTTGGCCAACCACGATGATGTCTACTTCGTCACCATGACCCAGGTCATCCAATGGATGCAGAACCCACGCACTATCAGTGAAGCCAAGAACTTCGAACCCTGGAGGGAGAAGTGCAGCGTTGAAGGCAAACCTGCCTGCTGGGTGCCCAACTCCTGCAAGTTGACTTCCAAGGAAATTCCCGGAGAAACTGTTAACTTGCAAACCTGCGTAAGATGCCCCAACAACTACCCATGGGTCAACGATCCTACCGGTGATGGTTTCTTCTAAGTCAGTTATAACTTAAAAATTCAGCCAAGCCCCCCTCTACTATAACTACTAAGCCACATAAGACATTTTCTCTAACTTAAACAAACAAAGAAAACAAAAACTTACCTTCCCCAAGAAAATGTGTCCCTCTCTCCCCATTCCTAGACCTTGTCTACCCCCCAAACATGCACACGCCTTTCTTTATATTTTTTTTATCGAATGAGAACATTTCTCCCAAAACAATGACATTTGAACTTTGTAAATAATTTCCAATATTTCGAACTCTTTTGAAACATTATTTTTTTAAATTTTTTAGTTTGTTTTTATTATTATTTTTTATTAATTTTTTTTTTGTTACAACAACAATAATATACACATATTTTTTTATTTCTCAATTTGCAAAGACTTTTTTAGTTCGGCTTTTGGGCATTGCCGATATTCCCGAAGAGAAAACGAGTGGGAAATGCCGGTAAATGTTCAAAAGCCAATGCTGTGTTAATTTTATTAAAACAAAAAAAGAACAAAAACATTACGAAATTTTGTATATCAAAATGAGTAGTAGAAGAAGATGTAAGAGAGAAAAAACGAAATGAAAGAAAATCCAAACAAAAAATCGTAAATATTTTTCTTTTATTGAATTTTTTGTAGAATATTATGTTATTTGTAACGTACTATATTTAAAATATTTTTATATTACATACATTCATGTTGGTATTTGTATTGTTCAATTTATAAAGGTGTGTGTGTGTGCGCGCAAGCACACACACGCACTGAACGAATAAGAAGTAATAAGAGACACGACAATATAAATTGTAAACATTACAACAAAACAACATACAACAATAAATAAAAAAACAATAAAAATTGAAAAAAATATTTTTTTTATTTCGAAATATTTGGTATGGGGACATGATCGCTGCAAATTTATATAAAAAATAATAATTTCAATCGAGTGGGAAGTTAACATGTATTTGAAATTACAAAAATGAAATAAATGTTTTAAAATATTTTGAACATTCCGTACCTAAAATAGTCAGGCACCAATGCCTGCAATATATCAAAAATTCAATTAGTGTGGATTAAAAAGCCAAGTAAAAATGAAACTTGTGTGAGTCAATGTGTTTCAAAGATTTGTGTGCCCAAATCTTTGAAACAAAACCTGAAAATTGCAGCAATGCTTAAATGCGTTAACGAAAAGTTTTAGTCTGTAAAATATGGACCTACATTCGATACACCGTTCGGACTCGGGTACACATATGTCAATACCATATGTGATCTTTGTGATCTACTATTAATCAAGCTTACCACCCTCCCACCTTCACCCGTCCTCGCTTAAAAAATAATAATAAATAGGCTTCATTTCCCACAGAAGTAGCTGTAACTAAGCCTTTCAAGGGTTTCAGAATAAGTTATTATTTTGATCCTAACTAAAATGGATTTAATTGTGCCTGCTTCAAAATTTTCTTAGATTGATTGTTTTCATTTAAAGATCTGGATTAAGTTTATCAACTGTTTGGCACTTCGTGTTGTCGGAGGATAAAAATCTCCTAGCAATATATGTTCACGATTTGACATAGTCAAATTCGGTTCCGGTTCGGGGTAAACGAACCCGGGTTTCTGTCCTACCTGCCACTATCGATTTTAGTCAGGATGGAATAACTCTAGTTTAGGAAAACGATCAGATTTTTTTAAATTTCTTGGAGACGTACCTGGTTACCCGGTTATTTGAACCGTAAGTTCGGGTACGGGTACCGGTTCTACGGATACGTTTGATACCATTTTTAAGCTTAGGAAAATATCTTTTCATTGAGCCCATTGAAGGGGTTACCTCAAACCCTTCGTTTTGTACTGTTCCAAGTTTTTGTATCTCTCAAATTCTCAAAGGCAACCCCTTCATATCCCCACTCAATGGATAGGTATTTTTATAAGCTTTGTATTAATCGTAGAAGCGGGTATAACGGTAAAAATACCTACCTCTAGAAAAAATTTTCAAAAAAATCTGATCGTTTTTACTAAACTAGAGTTAAGCCGTCAGGTTCTAATAATACAATTTTCTAATCGAAGTGGATGTATTTTGACAATTCGCGTTCACTGTACAATCTTTACGCAGAAAAATTCCAACATAGGCCATGTTTTCACATTGCCTCACTGATTTAAAATTATTTTAAGATCCTAGTCCAATTTTTATCTAATATTTACAATCAGTGGCATTTTGGACCATGGATTTAAAACGCCCTTGCTGAGAATAAGCACCCACATTTTGGCTCCTCTACAAAATGTTCGGTATGTTTTACTCGAATATTGAATATATTCCTGGTTTGCGATGATGCATCGAAAGTAAAGTTATTTCAATGTTCCTATATATCTCTACATATTTTAAAATCCATTGTCATTATTAATATTATCTTCAACCCATGCAGACGAATTTACGATCTAATTGACAATTCAGAAGAACTTGAAATTTAATGCCACGCATACACGATTTTATCCCAAATTATGTCTTCAATATTTCATTTCCAAACAAAATGGTTACAAACACGTGCACAATGTGGCCAACATGGTTTGATTTGTCTATCAAATTGGTTTGGTTTTCTGATTTCATTACCAATTTGCATATAACATTAGCGCATCATTAGCAACAAACCCGATCAAAATGTTGAAATTTATTCGATTTGAAAGAAAAAAATAATAAAACTCGAATGAACATCCACACCAAACATCTTGTGTGAGTGTTAACAAAGTAAATGTGGTTAAGTCAACTTTTAATGCGGGCATGGTTAAAAATTAAAATAGGAATAAAAAACCGACAAAAATTAAATAACCACGAAATATAAGTTTTTCTAACATTTCATGTTTTTTTTTTTTTTTGAGCTACCCCATTAAAATTTAATCCTATTCATTTGATGGGTAACCAGTTTGATTTCACACATAATAGCCCAACGGCCGGACAGACATAAACTAATAAAATTTCAAATATGCAAATGTTGAGATTTAATGTAAAAATTATTCAATTCAAATGAAAATGAAACCGAAACTGAAATCAAAATCAAAAATCAAATGAATGGACAAAGGCAAAATGAAACCGAAACCTAATATAAAACAGGTATTAGAGACATCGATTCGATTTTTTTTTTTCAAAATTTTGTGTTACCATGAAGAAACCCACAGCTAACTCCAGTGACACTGGTTTGCCTCAAATTAAATCGAAAAACAAAAAATATTTCCATTTTAGCACTCCCGAAATAAGACTTCTGCATTTTAAGGTGTTAAAAATAATTATTTTCTAATTTATTTAAAATTAATATTCTTAGAAGCTAAACAAATACACACACCCATACAAACAAATACTTGCTGCTGCTGCTGTATTGGCAAGTTTTTTTATGCCTCAACACAATTACACTTTAAACCAAAAAAAAAAAAAACAAATTAGCTTTAAAAATAGTTAGAAAAACTGGCTTTTTTAGCCACAAAATTTGCATGAAAAATACATTTGTATGTATGTATGAATTTGCACAAATAAGAGCCCAAAACACATACTCACATCGATCGGCTCACAAATATTTAAAATGAAACAAGCAAAAAATATGCAAAAATTCCAGCTAGTTTTATTATGAATTTTGACATTTTGCGTAAGTAAATGTCAAATAATTTCTCAAAAATCTGAAAAAGAGCGAATCTTAGCAAACAAGGAAATATTAAAAAACACAGACGTCAGTGATAAACCCGATATTCTTTTTATTCGTTCGTTCGATGACGTACTTACAAACAAAATAATGTTCAGCCTTAATAGTGTAAATTAAGATTGATACAATAGAGCTCGAAGGCTTGGATGGCTGGCGGCATCAAAAGATCACCTGTTTGCGCAAATCTGCGCCTCCGATCAACAACAAATGGCAATGGCTGACTTGAAATGCTAGCCAGCTTGCGGGTTGGGTTGAAGTGTTAAACAAGGTTATCATCTATTTTTTTTTCTATCATAAAGAAATAACAACATGTCGTGTATCTCTTGTTTTTCGTTTACTTGATGTCATTGATGTGTTGTTCGAAATGTATATTAAATTCATAATTCAAAATAGAAAAAAAAGCAAAAAACGATTTCCTGATACCACCACCCTCCATATAGACATATGTACATATTTGCGTAAATGTAAATCGTTGATTATGAAAATATTATCGGGATAAAATATTCAATGGCACGGATAATATATTCTATAGGAAATATTATTCGCATAATAATTCTGCGGATAAAAAAGGATATTATATTTATTATTATCTATTATCTGATATCTATTGAAAATTCAAGAATTAAAAAATGCTTTTTCTATCCCCAAAATTTTTCAAATAAAAACAAAAATCAAGAAATAAAAAATACTTCTATCCGAAAATTTTTCAAATAAAAAGAAAATTTAGAAAATATTTTCTATTCGGTATAAAAACAACTATGGGAAAACATTATCCAGATAATTTACAAACCGGAGAACGTTATCTGGATAATATTTTATAAAGGATAACATTATCGGAATACAATTTTCTATTGTATAGAAAAAAATATACGGATAATATTTTTTATTGGAAAACATTATCCGGATAATATATTCTATAGGAAAACATTATCCGGATAATATATTCTATAGGAAAACATTATCCGGATAATATTTTCTATAAGAAAACATTATATGGATAACATATTCCATAGAAAAAATTATACGGATAATATTTGCTATAGGAAAACATTATACGGATAATAATTTCTATAAGAAAACATTATCCGCATAATATGTTCTATAGGAAAACATTATCCGGATAATAGTTTTTATAGGAAAAATTATCTGGATATCTTCTATAGGAAAAAAATATTATCCAGATAATACTTTTTACATAGAAACATTATCCGGATAATATTTTCTGTAGGAAAACTTTATCTGGATAACATTTTCTATAGGAAAACATTAACCGGATAATATTTTCGATGGGAAAAATTAATCCGTATAATATATTCTATAGGAAAACATTATCCGGATAATATTTTCTATAGGAAGACATTACCCGGATAATATTTTCTATAGGAAAACATTATGGGGATAATATTTTCTATAGGAAAAATGTA